GGCCCCTACTGTGTATGTTGAATCCACATAAAAAAGACAGAAAAGTTTGTTATGAGTTGCATAGCTAGGGTGTGTCAAGAAACCAAATGTGTGAGCTTGCTAAGGAAAGACTGGTAATCACAGTAGGGAAGTTTGGTTTTGCATATGGTGAGCATTTTAGGCGAAAATATAACGGAAACAATCTAGTTTGCCTCCCTCAACTATCACAAAAGTCAGCTTTTACTCCCTCAACTCTAAGACCGGATATAGCTCCTCTCTCATCTCCCAAAACTGGCCACTTGACCCCCATGACAGTTATCCTTGGTGGTTTTTTTTCTATTATGTTTACTTTGGCTAAATATTTGAAAAACCATAATAAATCATAGAAAAATCATAAAATAGAAAATTCAATTGTGTTGAACTCCACGTGAGTAGATCTACATAGGGAACATATGATATGGTGTGTTTTAGTACAATTTTTTTCAAGAATGGGCCAGACTCTGCATAGAGTTTTAGCTGTAAGTAGCACGCTTTGTGAAGAGACTTGATTGAAGATGCTCTGGTGCCGAAAATATGCTCGGGGGTTAAAATGACCCACACAGCTAGACGACGGTAATACCAATTGGTTATGTTCCAATGATTATTTTATATTTCTATAATAATACCTGGTTTATTTGTAAGGTCCCTTGCTGGTGTCAAAGTCTCGTCGTAAATAAATTGGGGCAGAACATTGCAAGATATATGAGGTGAATTTGCGAGGTACGAGAGGACTCTAGCACAGAGTTTTTTTATTTTATTTTTCTATTATTCTTTTTAGGGTGACAGAGTCACAGATATGGCCGGCCGTTGGTCGTCGCTCGGATTTGGGCCTTGGTGGGCTCAATTGTCTCAGCTTCATGATTGCATGGGATTGGAGGCCAGATCCTTCCGCGGCGGGCACATCGCGCGCGTGCGGTGTGAAACTGCAATCGAGCGGCGCGGACCGCGGGCCATCTTTTTCACTGCCTCGGTCCGTTGGTCGGGCTCTGGCCCGGCAAACACAATGCCTCGAGCAGCAAAATGATAACTTCTTTTTTCTTTTCACTCCAACCCATGCGCAGTACTACACAAGCAGTCAATCTAAAACACACACACAAGCAGTCCTCTCGACCTCAACCCTGTCCGCTTACGCTGAATGTTTATGCTGAAATATTGTGAGAGAAAATACTGTTTTATGACTGAAAAGTAGCTAAGCAAACAGGAGAAAACATTTGCTAAGCTATTACTGCTCCTAAACGCATAACATTTGTCCATGCCTAGCTGTTTTAAGTCTACATGCTCATCCAATAAACATACACTAGCATTTTCATGTTGTCAAACGAATACTATGTTCTCTCTATGTCGTGCTAGATGAAAAAGATATATATACTCGTAGTACATGATAAGGTTCGCGGAAAAGCGTTATAGACGTAGACCGACTATATAACAGATAATGAGAACATCTCCACTGACAAATAAACACCAAAAAAGCAAATCGTATAAAATTCAAATGTTCCCAAGCTAGACAATATAAGGTAGTGCATGACTTCAGGGAAATCTAAAACTGTATATATATATATATATATATATATATATATATATATATATATATATATATATATATATATATAACAAAATTTCTAAGACAAAATCAAAATCTAGGATTTTTAGTTGTATAACTTTTCTAGAAAATACTAGATAAATTGTTGGGAAATATTTCTATAATTTTTTTTGGTAAAGTCTATTTAACCTTTTTTTAACTATCAATATAGTCGTCTGATTGGCCTCACTCGTGGCGCTATATAGAACGGCCAATGCGACACCGCGCAGGACAAAATTACTGTCGAACAAGTCTAAACTAGGAAAAGGGACTAAGGGAGCCCAAGAAACTAGTTTTTCTCCTAACGACGAGAAATCAGATGATTGCGACTTCCATGCTAAAAGTTCAGTAGATACTGTAAACAGGATCCAAGCCTTCTACCCTATTCCGAAGTCGAATTGCTGATCTGAGAAAGATTTTCGGAATGTTGCGCCGGGACTACTAGTAGGTTCATTTGCACTAGTACTCCGACGCAATTATTTTCAAAACCATGCATGTACTGCTCATATTCGCATTGCAACGGTACCATGAGCATTATGACGCTTCAACAACCTTTGTCCAATGTCCAAAGCGTCTTCATTAACATTGGGACTTTGTTAGTTGTACTTTTGATGATGATGCGAATGCATGCATGCACGCATGTTTCCCAACCAATCCCTGCTCTCCACTTGAAAGAAAAAAAAAAACCCCTCACTACCTGTTCTGACTCTCGTGACCCCATAAATCCAATCTTGGTCGTCCATCCACCTCAACCAATTCATGCACAAGCAGATGGAAAAGGACACTCCATTATTGGGTTTGTTTGTTGTGGTACTAGTGTCTTACCTCTGTTTTTTTTTTTACAATTATTTATGCAGTGAACTAGGGGCAGAGCCGGAAAGGATACAAATGAGGTGCTAAACTAGGCATCAAGAGGTGCTGAGTTGATTGAAAATAGATTGAATTTTTGGGATTATCTTTCTCCTAGGATTATATGAAGTCCGTCTAGAGGCAAGGCCGGTGTTACCATCCTGGTAGCACTGGCCTGGCTTTGTCCCTCCATTAAACGAATGTATATCATGCCCAACTAACTGGCCGTATATACAAACCATTTAGATTCATAGGAGAAACTTGAACTTAAGCTTCAAAAAAAAATCTATACTCATAGGCATAGGTATGACTCAGCTATTCCAAACCCTTGCATCGAAGCACATATAGATGAAAATATGTATATTTATTATGCACGCTATCAAGAAAAACAATGGGTTGGTTAAGCGCCACTTTCATCTTTTAATGTCACACAAAATATATCTAGTCTAGTTATGATTAGAACACGTTATGCTTAAAATGAAAACAACGGATAACATGACAACACGCTATATATAGCAGGTGCCAACATACATATTGTACAAACGGAAACGGACTTGCACTGGTGTGACTACAAAAGTATATGGTTTAGAGGTTGTCATTGCAGTTGCCTTCGCACTAACTAGCTTTAGTTAATTGCTACCAAACGTGACAACACATCAGCCAATCATCATTATATGAAAAATAGAAGCAAATGAAAAGTGTTATGGATCTCAACAAACACCAAACTTTACTACTCCTTCCGTCCTCATCAAAGCTTCAAAATTTTATTTCAAATTTCTAAATTATAAGATATTCTAGATTGCTCAATTGTATCCACGTTTGTCATCTTTTAAACCATTCCATACATGCCATTTATATACCATCCTACCCAAAATAACTTATACAACGAGCGCCTACTATCAACAAACCATGAACTTTTGGAGAGCTACCAAGAAGCCTTAGGCCCTGTTTGGTTGAGCTGGTACGTGGGAAAAAAATCTAACTGTGAAATGGAAAAAGTCTAACGTGAGGTATAAGTACATAGAAAAATTTGAAAATTTGTTTGGTTAAACAAGTATAAAATATACCTTTTATCTTTATCTCTCTTGAAACAACTATGGAAGAGCTTTTTATTCCACCAATTTCGAAAAGCAGAAAACCAAAAGTCAAAAGCTCAACCCAGCTTTCAAAAATGAACTACGGAAAAGCAGCTGCTTCTGAAAAAACACCCTCCAAAAACAGCCCCTTTGGTTGGGCTTTTGGCTTTTGGGGCCAAAAGCCAAAGCCAAAAGCCCAACCAAACAGGGCCTTAAATCACAACTAAACAACTAGAAAATATCTTTGGGGTGCAAAAGTATTACTCAACCCATTTCAAATTTATAAGTTGTTATAACTTTTCTAAATACATAGCTTTTATTTTGTATCCAGACATAGATATGTATTTAGATGCATAACAAAAGTAATGTATCTATTTTTTTAAATAACTTATAATTTGGAATGGATAGAGTACACCCTCGTTTTCTCATGATTTTTTCTCATAAAATTCGAATAAGATTGCGTCTTTTTCTTTCGCATCAACATATCATTGTACCGTAAGGTAAATGTAAGGAGGATTAGACCACATTCTCTGCATAGATTCATGTGCAGGGCTGGGCTAGGCACAAGCATCTTCGTCCTGTTTGTTTGAACTTGTTTGACTGATAAGCCGTGGCTGAAAGTACTGCTGGCTGATTTGGTGTGAGAGAAAAATACTGTTCGTTGGCTGAAAAAATACGGTTTATAAACCAAACAAGCCCAAACGAACAGGGCCATTATTATTATTATTATTATTATTATTATTATTATTATTATTATTATTATTATTATTATTATTATTCACGAAAGAAACACCCTACAAAAATTAAATATTTTCTCTACCACCACTACTACTGCTTTGTTTATTCCTCTCTACATCCACTACGAAAAGGAAAAATAAAAAAGAATCCTCCTTTCCCCGCCTCCCCTTCCTCCTTCCTCTCTTCGTCTTCCTCCTCCCCACCCCTCCGTTCCCTCCACGAAGCTGCCCCCCGCAGGATCCGAATCCGAGCTCGCACGCAGCCACTACCTGCGGGCCCCACGCGCCCTGCTCCTTCCTGCCGCCAACCATTGCTCCGTTCTTGGTTTGATCCGTCGAATTCGGCCCCGCCGTGCGCGGCGTCGCGGGCGCGCACCCGAGGCTGCATTTCTTTTTCCCGGCCAAGATTCGGTCCGGCGGGGCCGTTCTCCGCGCGATTTCGCGGGCCGTTCGGCCTTTCCTTCCCGGATTTGTTCCGGCTCCCCTGGAGGAGGATCGGTGCTGTAAAAGGCACCAAAATTCCAATCTTTTCCTGCTGCTGCCTCCTTCGCGACACCTTCTTCTTCGTCTTGCCCCCAATTAGCTGGGAGTAGCGTGGATTCTGATTCTTAGGTTCTTGGCTTCCCTCCGTGAGCTTCCGCGGTTGGCGTGGTTATGCCAGCCCCTCGCGATTTGCATCTGTGATTCGTTTGAAAATCCGGGAGTGTGGAGATTTGGGAGGTCTTCTCGCTCCTGTGCTCTATGAGGAGCAGCTTCCTGTCAGAGTCGCCGTGCGACGAGCAGCACATCCATGGATATGGCTTCAACCCGCAGTCATGGCTGCAGGTGGAGCGAGGGAAGCTGCCCAAGTCGTCCTACTCGCCTTCCTCCATGTGAGCCCCAGCTCGACGCCATTCCAGCATTTTGCTCACTCCTTAGCTCAGTAAATACTGTGATGGTTCTGAATTGCATCTTCTGGTTAGCTAAAACTCTTTTGCTTTGTGCAGTGAGTCACTCATCAAGATTGCTGAGCCGCCTGTAGTGCCGTTGTACAAACCTTTGGATTATGTTGAGGTGCTGTCAAGGATCCACGAGGAGCTTGAACAATGTAGCCCGAGCGAGCGGCCAGGGCTGTACTTGGTCCAGTCCCAGGTGTTTCGGGGCCTTGGGGAGGCAAAATTGCGCCAGAGGAGTCTCCACTCTGCCTGGCGCTGTGCAAGCGCCGTCCATGAGAAAGTCATATTTGGGGCGTGGCTGCGTTACGAGAAGCGGGGGGAGGAGATCATATCTGACGTCCTTGCATCATGTCGGAAATGCTGTCGAGAGTTTGGTCTACTTGATGTTGCTTCCGAGATGCCTGTGCGGAATTTTGAGGTGATTGGTTCATGGGAGACAGGCTCCTCATCTCAACTTTCTTCCATGGTAACCTTCCAAATACAGGATGGTAGGGTGACATGTGATAGGTGCAAGATTGCGTCTTTGTCAATACCATTTTGCTCCATGCTTAATGGGCCGTTCACTGAGTCACAGCTTGAGCTTGTTGATTTGTCAGAGAATGGTATTTCGTTGGAGGGCATGAGAGCTGTTTCTGAGTTTAGTTCTACATGTAGTTTAGGGGATCTGCCTGTGGAAATCTTATTGGAGATCCTGGTGTTTGCAAACACATTTTGTTGTGACAGTCTAAAAGATGCATGTGATAGGAAACTGGCTTCATTTGTTTCATCAAGGCAGGATGCCGTTGAGCTCATGACATTGGCATTTGAAGAAAATCGCCAGTTCTTGCTGCTTCTTGCTTGCAAATGCTTTTACAGGAACTTCCGATTGTCTAGCTGATGATCTAGTAATTAGCCTCTTCTTAGGTGCAACTGCACAGCAACAACTTATCATGGTTGGGCAGGCGTCCTTTTTGTTGTATTGCTTGCTTAGTGAAGTAGCAATGAACATTGATCCGAGGACAGACACAACTGTATTCTTGTCAGAGAAGCTTGTTCAGCTAGCAGTTACCCCTACTCAGAAGCAAATAGCTTTTCATCAACTTGGATGCATTAGACTTTTGAGAAAAGAATATAGTGAAGCTGAACATGGATTTGAGGTTGCCTTCTCTGCGGTCATGTGTATTCGATTGCTGGTATTGCTAGAATCGCTGGCATACAAGGCCAAAAGGCTTTGGCTTATGAGAAGCTCAGTTCAGTCATAACATCAAATTTGCCACTGGGGTGGATGTATCTGGAGAGGTCGTTGTATTCTGAAGGTGATAGAAAGCTGGCAGACCTTGACAAAGCAAGTGAGCTGGATCCTACTCTCACTTACCCTTACATGTATCGAGCTGCATCCTTGATGAGAAAGAAAGATGCTAAACTTGCCTTAGAGGAAATTAATCGACTCTTGGGTTTCAAGTTAGCATTGGAGTGCCTGGAGCTAAGGATCTGTCTATACTTGGCTCTTGAAGACTATAAGTCTGCCATCTGTGATATCCATGCGATTCTTACTCTTTCACCTGATTATCGGATGTTGGAAGGGCGTGTAGCTGCTTCCAAAATAGGCACTCTTCTGGGTGCACATGTCGAGCAGTGGAATACAGCTGAGTGTTGGCTACAACTTTATGGCGCTGGTCATCAGTGGATGATATTGGTTCCCTTTCAGTGATCTATCGGATGCTTGAGTCAGATGCAGCAAAAGGTGTCCTGTACTTTAGGCAATCTTTGCTGCTCCTTAGGTAAATTCTACTAGCACATCTCTCAGATATTCTGTTGTGGCTGTTTTGGTTGCCAATTTAATGACAGGTGTTGCTTGATATTTGGGCTTTTTCCAGGTTGAACTGTCCTGAGGCAGCGATCGCGCGTTTGCAATTGGCAAGGCATCATGCAGCAACTGAGCATGAACGACTAGTCTATGAGGGGTGGCTTTTGTATGACACAGGGCACTGTGAGGAGGCCCTACAAAAAGCGGAAGAATCTATTTCTATTCAAAGATCATTTGAGGCGTTCTTTCTGAAAGCCTATGTTTTGGCCGACTCAGGAGTTGATCCTTCTTATTCCTCGACTGTTATCTCGCTTCTTGAAGATGCATTGAAATGCCCTTCAGATCGGCTTCGGAAGGGTCAGGTCTGTGCTGCAGTTTATCAATGCAAAAGTGATTCATGATATTATTTACTCTTGATAATTCATTGCATTTGAACTTCAGTTTACCTTCAATTAAACATGGTAAATTCAAGGGCAACTTGGTTCACCCAACGTTGTCGTGAATTCTTTAAGATTTTATATGCTTTGCTAGACACTGAGTGATCCAAGCTCTCTGATTGCTGCTGTCATGTAGCATAGCGTTTGCTGGTGTATTAGCTGCTGCCATGAGAAATGAGAGTTGAGGGAGAAAAAAATATTATAGTATCTATGAACACTGTCACAATTCGCATGTTCCTTTTGCTACTGAAGCCTGATCATTGCAATGCAGTGTATGCATTTTAATGGAATTGAAAGAAGCTCAGGAATTTGAACAACATGAAAGAAATCCATAATGCTGTAGAATGTTTAGGAGTACCAAGAACATCTGATATTTGTTCATGTGTGGATTTTGGGACAAGGGGTCATTAACACTTTCCGTGCATTGTTTTACCTGCAGGCATTGAATAACCTTGGTGGTGTCTATGTTGATTGTGGCAAGTTAGACTCAGCAGCTGATTGCTATACAAGTGCATTGAAGATTCGACACACTAGAGCCCATCAAGGTCTTGCTCGTGTTCATTTTCTCAGGAACAACAGGAAGCTGCATATGAAGAGATGACAAAGTTGATAGAAAAAGCTAAAAACAATGCTTGACTTATGAGAAACGTTCAGAATATTGCGACGAGAACAAACTATGACAGATTTGCAAACCGTGACCCAATTGGATCCTTTACGTGTTTATCCATACAGATATCGAGCAGCAGGTTGGATCAAATTGAAACTTTTCTTCTGGTTTGCTGATAACATACAATAAATTTTTATAATAATGCAAAAGTCTGCATTGTATTTTTACGTCATCTTCAGTTCTGCATTGAGAACCAATAGATCATGCCTTAAGATGCTGCATTATGCAATATTAGTGTTTCTCTGTTCATTTTTTTGGTAGCTGTCTTCCTTTTTGAATAACTTTTACCTGTTGCTACTGGCCCCATGTTTTAGGGTTCAGAGTGTATTGATTGAAATGGAAATACTATGTTTCTTATCTAAAATGTCTGATACTGTAGCCATCGTTCAAATATAGCTTTAATACTGAAACTTTGTTTTAAGCACAGTGCACTTAATTACTCATTTTTTACTCTGTTTGCCCTGGTGGTGATTACCTTCTCTTTATTGTTTAACATGAAGTTCATTGGACTATCGCTGCAAACACTTGTCCTTTTTCCTGGATTGTATCACTTTGCAGAATTCCTCTTCTTAACATAAATTGGTCACAAGTTTTGAACCCTGCACCACTTTGACTAGTGCAGCAGCCGAGAATCAAGTACATTATGCTAAACTTAGAGCCACCCTGTGCTAGGATAAAAATATGCACAGGCGTAACAACCTCATCTTTGTGAAAACTCTCATACCTGTAAAAGTACTCCTTATTCATGTCATGTACTCATGTCTTTGTGAAAGTTCTAAGATGAATAACGTGTTAGACAATGATACATCTTTTTCATGTCTTTCATGTATTGCCCTGCACAGCATATAAATCTGGTTAAAACATTGTTTTGGTTTTGATTTGCACAGTGCTGATGGATAGCCACAAGGAGAACGATGCAATAGCGGAGCTCAGCCGTGCGATATCCTTCAAAGCCGACCTGCACTTGCTGCATCTCCGGGCAGCTTTCCATGAGCACATCGGGGATGTACCGAGCGCTCTCCGTGATTGTAGAGCCGCCCTTTGCTTGGACCCGAATCACCAGGAAATGCTGGAGCTTCAGAAACGTGTGAACAGCCAAGAGCCCTGACACGTTGTGGTGCTATATTGTGTATTGTATACCACGATTCATGCCACTTTGGTGTGTCTCATGACAGCCTTGACCTCATTCATTTTTTCATTTCGCTGTTAATCAATTAGTCACTGTAATATGATGTTTTCAGGAAGAAAGTAACAGAGAGAGAAAAAGAAGAGAGAGCAAGTTCTATGAAAGCAGGCATTGATAAAGCTTTTTAACTCGATGCCTGTGACCTCTGTAGAAGTAATGTGCTAATCACTGAACTGTATCCTGAAAAAGTGATATTCGTGCATAATGTAATTTTCAGTTCTGTTCCCTGTATCCAGTTTTAACTGAAATTAACCTTGAGAATATATCGTGCTACATCTTAAATCCACCTCTGCCTGTGATTTTACAGTGGCATTAAGTGTATATAACTTTGTGATTCATGGGGTGTGTCTTATCCAGGGAACCCTTGGAGTTGTAGCTGCATGATCACAGTTTCAACAACGTTTTCTTGTTTTATTTCGTTTGCCGATGATACAGTATTCATAATGAAACCTGTTCATTTGAGTTTGAATCTGTAACTTGTATTAAACTTTTCGATGCCTTGCAAACGGATACAGCTCCCATGAACACTTTCCCCGTGTACAATATATTTTGCAACTATAGTTGTGCTGAACCTAGAGACCTGGTAAGTCGTTGTGCATGTTTGCTAAGCAGACAAAAACAACTTCCCTGCACATTATGTCATGATGATGGCTGCTGCGGCTGCTCTGAACACGCACGAGCCATTGCTAGGACTTTCACAACAGCCGTTTGGAAAGTGACCTGTCCTGATTTCCGGATAGGTTTTTGGAGACCGAGTGCATTGCTTGACCGGCAACAGGATCTTCTGAAGAGTAAGCACTCAGTAAGACAGTATCGTAAGTATACTATATACCAGCTGCCAAGGGCGTCGAGGGGTAGGGTAGGCGCACCCGACTACGTAGTTCGTAGCCGTGATCCGTGTTGGGACGAGGTTTTACCCCTCAGCGCCCGTTTTGGTTGAGAGAAAGAGAGAGATAATTGTTCTTATTTGATTCTCAAATGATAGATTACAAGGACTCTTATAGGCTATAGCCTTGACAGACTCTAACAAATCACTCCTAAATTAGAGGATCTCTTTCCTTTATTCTAGCCATTCACTTGATTGACTTCCCTTTATTCTAGCCGCTACCTACACCGACACCTGGGCTGGTGCTTGCTGCGGTGACCGCGGCGACCATGTCGCCCTAGCGCGCTGCTACACGCCTGGCATCCCGGGCCCTTCTATTCCTGGCATATGTGCGTCCCCACATGACATCTCTCCCCCCGTCGAGGAGCAGCTCGTCCTCGAGCTAGAAGTCTGGATACTTGGCGGTGAAAGCCTCGACATCTTCCCATGTAGCTGATGCAGCCGACTCGCCCTTCCACTGGACAAGTACCTGGCGCACACCGCGCGCCGAGCGTGCCCGCACCGCCCGCTCCAGCTCTGGAACCGACGCACCATGGTGGATGGGGGGCAGCGGTGGTGGAGCATCCGGAGTCGGCCCGCGGAACTTCTTGAGGAGACCGATGTGGAACACATCGTGCAAATGAAGCGCCTTGGCGGAAGGGCCAAGCGGACAGCGACATCATTGATGAGTGTAAGGAAAATGGACCCTTGGCCCATTTACTTTGGATTTTGGTGTTTGATGACCAACACAACTAAATTGGACTAATGAATTTGTAAGTGTTTGTTTTGTAGTCCAATAGGGTGCAAGACGTGACTTGGACGAAGGCGACGTGATGATCCGATGATAAACACCTTAAAGCAAGACCTTAGGAGCACAAGAGAAGACCCAAGAGATCAAGTAAAGTCCAAGCATGAAGATTAGAACCAAGTCATACGCAAGATCGCGAAGAAACGAGCTCACTGAGGTGACCGGACGGACGTGGGCAAGAGGACTCGCGCAGAGACTCGGCGGAGCGACCGGACATCGGACCGGACGGCAAGCGGCAACGGTCGGACGCCGGACAACAACGCGTCCGATCGAAAGTCTGATAAAGGTTCCAAAGCGGCAAATCTCGACGGACGCGTCAGGTGGCGGCGACCGACGACGCCACGTCGTCCGATCAGTATATTGCCGGCTCAACGGTCGGGACGACCGGACGCGTCCGGTCAGGACGATTCAGCGTCCGGTCAGTAGCAGTTTCGCGGAAATTCAACCACAACAGCTACTTTCTCAGTGGGGCTTATAAATACAACCCTCAACCGGCCATTTGAAGAGAGTGGAGCTGAGGAAACATACCAAGGGTGTTGATACATTATTTTAGTGATCTCCACTTGCATAGTGCTTAGTGTTTCATCAGGTGATTAGCGTAGGTCTTTGTGAAGTGCTTAGGTTAATTAGACCACCGCTTATGCGCTTGCTCTAGGTGTATGCCTAGTATTTAGTGAGGTTTGCATACCTCTTGCCACCCCGTGCTTGCGAGCACAAGAGTTGTACATCGGAGGGGCTTGAAGTCTTGCGAGATCGCACCAACCGCGTTTGTGGTGCGGCCGCCACTGTGTACCGAAGGGAACAAGGCCCGCGACGTTTTGACCGGAAGCTTGATAGTGAAGATGGCGGGGAGCATCCGGGAGAGGCTTGTCAGAAGGCACGTCGGAGACCCACTTGCGCGTGGGGAAGGCCCGAGGCTATCCACGGAGTTACCCGACCGGGAGCTTGGCCCTTGCGAGGGATTCCTTGCGAGGGGCTCCAACGAGGACGAGGGGGAAGCTTGCGCGCTTCTCGATACCTCGGTAAAAATACCAGAGTCGTCGACGGGAGTTTACATATCTCTATCTTGCTCTTTAAGCTTCCGCATTTACATTGATCATATTATTCCTTTTGCGGTAGAGATAGCAACACACTAGTAAAATCGTAGTTGCACATTAAGATAGTTTATCTTTTGCATAGGTTTTGCTAGAGTAAGAAAAAGAGGCCATAGTTTAGAGTTAGAATTTTTAAGTTGCCTAATTCACCCCCCCTCTTAGGTGTCACGGTCCGTTCAATTGGTATCAGAGCCGGTTGGCTCAATTTGGACCTTTGGCTTAACCGCCGTTGAGCCGACGCCATTTAGAGTGATTGGGATGGATACCTCTAGGCCTCCGCACTTTGACGGCACTAACTTCCCTTATTATAAGGCTAGAATGGCTTGCCACCTTGAGGCAGTTGATTTGGGTGTATGGAGAGTCACTCGTGACGGGATGAAACCCATCAAGAATCCCGAAAAACCCACAAAGAGTGATAAAAAAATGCATTTCAATGCTAGAGCTAAGAATTGCTTGTTTGAATCATTTAGCATGGATGTTTTTAACCAAGTATTTACTTTAAATACGGCACATGAAATTTGGTTAAAACTCCAAGAGCTCCATGACAGCACAAGTAATGTCCGTGAGCAAAAACATTGTCTAGCTAAACAAAATTATGATTCCTTTACAATGAATGATGATGAGCTTGTTCGTGATATGTACTCTCGTTTGAATCTAATTATCAATGAGCTCCATTCAATAGGATTAATAAAGCTAGATGATGCGGACATCATGAGGAAGATCATCTCCGTGCTACCACAAAAGAAATATGCAAACATCATCACCATCCTTCACAACATGGAGAACTTGAGCACCATGACCCCGGGCATTGTCATTGGCAAGTTAGTGGCATTTGAAATGTCACAGAAGATGGGTTAAGAAGAAGCTTCTTCATCAAGCAAAGGCAAAGCTCTCGCATGTAGCGAGAAAAAGAAGATGAAGGGCAAGCACGTTGAGACAAGGTCAAACTCAAACTCCTCAAGTGAAGATGAAGATGAGGACGACGATGATGATGAAGATTCAAGTGATGATCAATCTTCCTCCTCCACCTCTGACCTTGATGAAGAATCAATCAAATTAATCAACAAGGTGGAGAAGATGATCCAAAGACTCAATGTCAAGGGTGTGCCCATCCAAATTCAAGATCCCATTTTCACAAATCAAAGAAATAAGCAAAGAAAGAGAGGATGCTATGGATGCGGCGAGTTGGGGCACTTTGTGAAAGTTTGTCCAAACAAGCCCACACCCAAGACAAAGAAGAAGGCATGCAAGAACCAAGCCCTCACCTCAATAAGATCATGGGATGATTCTTCAAGTGAAGAAGAACACCATCACAAGAGGTGAGGCCGCAAGCACTCATCATCAAACTCTTCACGTGTGTGCCTTATGTCACGAGGTAACGAAAGCTCATCCTCTAGTGAGAGTGATAGTGATGATGATATGCCTTCTTATGATGCAATTGTGCAACAAAATCTTAAATATGCTAAAGTTTGCACTAGTCAACAAAAGAAGCTCAAAAGTTTAAAAGAAAAGCTAGATACTTCACAAGAAGCATACAAAACTTTGCTTAAACAATATGAGAACTTTGCTAATCTAAATGTTGAACTATCTACTAAAATTGATCAACCTAAGGCTAGTGCAACAACAAATGAATGCACAATAAATGATGAGCAACTTGTAAAGAAAAATAAAAAATTAAAAGAAAAGTTAGCTAGCTCACAAGATGCTTATAAAAGTTTGCTTGCAAAAATAGAAACCATGTGCAAACATTGTGATGAGCTAACTAACAAAGTTGCTAATCTTGAAGTCGTTAGTATAACCCCCACCATGGCATCTAAAAGAAATGACACAATTAAAAAGGATGCCTCTACTTCTTGCAATGATTTATGTTTAGACTCACATTTGTGCAACCAAGCTTGTGTTGAGAATGTTATTGTAGATACATGCACACAAGAAGTTGTAAAGGAAAATGAGCAACTCAAGCAAGAAGTAACTCGCCTCACCAAGGACTTGACTCAAGTGAAAGGCAAGGCGAAGCAAACACAACTTCATCAAGATAACACCGTCAAGGGAGTGAAGAAGCTTGATGAAGGACAAACCGTGGTTTGCTACGTATGCCACAAGGAAGGCCACAAGTCCTATGAGTACAAGGTAAAGAATGGGGGAGGAGCAAAGA